ACTTTAACTAAAAATATACAAACGCGAGAAAAATAATCACTCGGTTAGCACTAATATTATTTTTAAAAACCACATTTACATTTAACATGCTGCAGTCACAATATAATAKATATAACATGATTTACTAATTGCATGTGATTTTATATATTTTTCAGTCATTGGTCACTGGAGAAAAATCATCGGTGCGTTATATTACCTATCAAAACGAAGCGGAAGAAGAATAACGTGCATTATTAGCTTCGTGATTTATAACTAACGCTTGATAAATTACGCTTTTTCATTTTTTTTTCTCCGCAAACATAATTTAATTGAGATCAAAATTACTTCATCAATACGTCACCATTATAAATATTATACAACACAGACCATACCTCAGTGTTAACAGTTATAATACCTTAAAATATAAAACACTTTAAAGTTCAAAGATTTACATTTCGGTGGTCTAATTCAAAAAGATATTAATCATAAAAAGAAATCACATATACCTAGGCATATATAGCTGCTTTATCTATATAATATACACATAATTATATAATATATATATATATATATACCAATTCGTAATCGAAATGGGCCACCGATAAAACTAGATCRTAATCGATTTTGTTCGTACGTGAACGCAAAAATAAACCAAAACAATAAACAAATCATAATATGCAAAAATGAACAACCTTAAATTATAATATTATTAATGATATTACCTAAAATAACCGATACATGTATATTATCATATTATATATACATTTGATGACGAAACATACCTACAGTAAACAATCGACTTTGCAACTTATTAAACGTGGTTTATAATATAAATAACACTATATATAAATATTTTCTTATACCTATATAATATATTATATTTAAATTATATTATTTAATAATAATATTATTATGCGTATGCATGCATTTTATTGCTCATCATTTACACCACCATTGAGCATCAGAACATTTTGTTGATTAAGACTGTTTTATAATAATAAATAAATATATTAATCGTGTTTTCTTTATATATATAATAATAAAGTGTCAGACCAAATTAAATTATGCCATTTGTATTTATTTATCCAGTAGATCACGTGCAATAACGTATCTATTTCCAAATATATACCTATAGTCCTATACAAATTGTCATACATATAATGATAATGATAAGTATACCTAATGATCGCATCTAACTTATACTCATAAATATTTTAATAAGTACATAAGTACAATGTCACTGAAAAAAATATTCAGCATATAGGGTGTAAATAACAGAAAACCTGAAAAAATATGTTAATTAAACGTATGACAAAATTGTTAATATTATAATATGATAAGTAAATAWTTTAAGAAATATACTCATGTCAGCAAATTCTCAAAAATCATATTTTTAAAAAGTCATTTCGTTCCAAATTAATTTAACCAATAAAAATATTGAGTTTTAAAAAAATTCTAAAAAATAAACTACTTGACTTAGATAAATCTTTTTACCATCGAAATCGTTCTTATAATCAGATT